AATCCCCACACTTTAGTTTGATATAGAAGTGAAATATGATGCACGATGTGATACGAGGCGGTGCAGTATCTCCTCTGATATTTGAGAATCAAAACGGTATAGCCCAGGTCGATTTTATCATTATGTAAATAAACCCCGAAGTATGGGCCAATTTTTCCCGAATTAATGTAATAGGTTTAAACTTGTCAGTTGCCTGACCTATATCAGTGATACCAGCCTACAGCCACAAATTCATTCATAATGTAACATTGTTAACACAAACGATTCTTTGTTGAAATTATTCGTTTTGAGCATTTGGTCTTCCTTGTCTACCGTAAGGAACGGTATAATTCTACTATTCTACATTGTACATATATAAAACAGTTTGGTTACTATGGTGAATTAGATATATAAAACAGTTTGGTAAATATGATGAACTAGATATATAAAACAGTTTGGTTACTATGATGATATATAAAACAGTTTGGTTACTATGATGATATATAAAACAGTTTGGTTACTATGATGATATATAAAACAGTGTGGTTACTATGATGAATTAGATATATAAAACAGTTTGGTTACTATGATGATATATAAAACAGTTTGGTTACTATGATGAACTAGATATATAAAACAGTTTGGTTACTATGATGAACTAGATATATAAAACAGTTTGGTTACTATGATGAACTAGATATATAAAACAGTTTGGTTACTATGATGATATATAAAACAGTTTGGTTACTATGATGATATATAAAACAGTGTGGTTACTATGATGAACTAGATATATAAAACAGTTTGGTTAATATGATGAACTAGATATATAAAACAGTTTGGTTACTATGATGATATATAAAACAGTTTGGTTACTATGATGATATATAAAACAGTTTGGTTACTATGATGATATATAAAACAGTTTGGTTACTATGATGAACTAGATATATAAAACAGTTTGGTTACTATGATGAACTAGATATATAAAACAGTTTGGTTACTATGATGAACTAGATATATAAAACAGTTTGGTTACTATGATGAACTAGATATATAAAACAGTTTGGTAACTATGATGAACTAGATATATAAAACAGTTTGGTTACTATGATGATATATAAAACAGTGTGGTTACTATGATGAATTAGATATATAAAACAGTTTGGTTACTATGATGATATATAAAACAGTTTGGTTACTATGATGAATTAGATATATAAAACAGTTTGGTTACTATGATGATATATAAAACAGTTTGGTTACTATGGTGACATATAAAACAGATTGGTTACTATGGTGAACTAAGTACAATGCATCTATCATTCATTAAGTCCTCAGTTTCTGGTAGTACCACAACCTTTTTAGCTATCGTGTTACTTTTTATAGAAAGTTAATCAATCCGTACCACAAATGAATCCATCCGACCTACTCCTACGTAGTCTGATGTCCAAAATATCCGAAAGTACCTCGGAAGAAGACCTGTGCTGCAACGTGTTGAGCATGTGCGTGTTTTCAAACATTAAGTTTATGATGTAGTTTAAACTCATTATTTGCCTCTACTATCTGTACTGTGGTGTGTCAATCATTCCTGTGTCTATTGTTCCATCGTCGAAATTGTAGGTGAGGAGATATTACAGGTAGATATTTAGTACTTGCGGTTTGCTGTAACCGGCAGGTCTCTTCTTCCGGACGTTGTTTTAAAATTCTGATGTATTAGAATTAAGTTAATTATGGGCCCAGTACACTGTCCCATATCAATTGCTAACTTAATCAGTTTTCCCCTCGAGCTTTGAACCATCGATCACACTTCCAACGGGGATAACCAATTCCGATATCTTTTTTCCAATGGGATGAAAAAAATGTATTACTCTCATCCTAGGATTGAGACGGAAGATGTCACTCTCATTACAATGGTGTGACGTCACATTTACAAGTCCCTGACGTCATGTCAACATTTCGTGTGACATCACTTCAACAACACACAGCTGATAAGGCCAGCAGGGTAAGGGAAAGGATGATTCTGTTACAAGCACTCGTCAAGCTTTATGTTTGCTAACTTAATAATCTTTCCCCTCATGTTGAGAATAAGGTCCCTCTTTCTCGCCACCTGGCCAGTTAAAGATGCTATTAATGTTGAAATATTATATGTTATTAATTGAACTTCGTACAAATTTGTGATGAATCTTTTTGCAGCTGCCGGTTGGACATTGTTTGTGCTGCGTTAATCTAAAATACAATTGAATTTTAGACGTTTGACGTTGAGTGACAACTCTAGCTAGAATCTAAATTAGAAATGTCTGGAGCGACCTTTACCCATGGACAAGATAGGAATTATCTAAAACAACATTTGCACGATTTGCTACAGTGTTGTGCAATTGTACCTAAAATAGTGAAGTATGACAGGCCGCAGGGACATTCCAGACCTCGTCCACGCCTCTGTAAGTATTGATATCGTGACGAACAGTGGACTAGTGATTGAACCGTTAACAGAAAACTGCTTCATAAGTCGTAATTCACCTGTCATATGTGTCGATTTTAACAACAGATATGCTAAAAGGTAGGCGTATTTATATGTATTACGATGTCGTTACAGGAGATTCAGGTCAGGAACGTGGGTCAAAATATATACAGAATTACACAAATATTTACCATTTGTTGTGAGAAGCGATGAGGTAAAACATCTACACACGTGTATCATTGAGTGGAGTCATTGCCACCGATGAATTCTGAACAGACCAGGCTTTCATAGGCTCTCTCTTGTCTCTGCGGTTCACGTGATGTTTCCAAATAAGGCAGATAGATAATTAGACAAATGATATATTTGGCTTGCTGTGAAGTCAATCTTTCGCTAAAGGGTTTGGTCGATCTTGATTTCACAATATGAGCTGGTACGAAAGTGTAAGGTGATGAACCTTCGGAGTATGAACCCACGATATAAATACCGAGATTGAAGTAAAGACACCCTGCTATATATTTTTCGTTTGTCGTGTGTACTTCCACTATCACGATCGTGAACTTGCTACGGTAAATACTATCAACACTTTCAGCCAAGATAAACACTGCAACCTTACATGTTTGTGAGGGGCATCGATCGCACTTCAAACACAGAAGAGGTACACGCATGACCAAGGTCAAGGTCGTTACGTGTCGGCTGTGGAACACAATTAAATAGAGTGTTACCACTATCGTCAGCATGAAAAGCAGGTGGATCGTTGAAACCTGCGACAAGCTGTATTTCTCGAGGATTATAAACCTCTCTGTCATAAAGTACTGCCGGTGTATTACTACGCGTAGGGCAGATGACGAGAGGTAACACAGAGTCCCGGAACGTTATTAGCATATAGACCCAATTGGTCATCAGATGGTAAGAATATTACCCTTGTGTTTTTATGGAGGATACGGAAACAATGTTAACGTTATGAGAATGGTTTATACCTAGTTATCACGAGGTATCCGAAGGAAAAAAATGTCCCATCTTTCAAATGATATGCATGCTTTGTACACCCATCAGAAATATTAACTACATCGGGAAACATAGATGAGGCCGATTTTACAGCTGCATTTTATAGATGAATGGCATTTATTTTGTAACGTTGTACCCAGTGTATCTGAAACCCAAAAACGTCGAAAATTATTGTATTCTTATCGGGATGGTCAAATTCTACAATGTTTCCTTTCTGTGACTGTTTGGTGAATCTGTCCCAATGGTTCGGGATGAAAGATTTAGGATTTTCCTAGACCTCTATTTCAACGTTTTACATTACTGGTTATAGTGGCAACTGTCAAAAACCATCAAAATACCAACATGTTAACATAATCATCATAACTCAAACCCAATACATCTAAATATTGACAAAAGAAAGATTTGAGAGTTACATTTACAGTGGCTGTGGTGACGTCATCAGCACTTCACGTTTAGATATGTTGCCAAATATTTACACTGTACAACATTATTCCAGATTTCATGGTCCAGAAACTCTGAATTTATGGATGACGAGAAGCTGTACTTATACATCTTTTGTGTCTGTCTGAGTTCATTGATGATTAATTCCAACCAAACTCTGATTATAGGCATGTTGAAGTTAAGGGCATCTAAACCCACGAAATTGGATATACATGAATTCTATTTTTGTTTGTTTTGTTTTACATATACTTGAGTACGGCCCTGACCTGTCCTGGAAAACTTTGCGGTACAGATTTTTTTTTTATTCTTAAAACATATTAAATGTTTGAACTACAGCAGAAAACAGTATGTTTACCTAAGGCTGAGTGTGAACCAGACGAAAGGAAACACAAATTTGTTTAAGTTACAATTGGTCGCTTTTTCTGATCAATGGGAGAGACGCCTAATTAAAGATTATCTAGAAAGAAAAAGGCGGATTTGTATCCGTTACTGTGGTGACTATATGGTAATGGATGTCAGTGTCACGTGCCTGTATAGTAGATAGTTATCTGTATGAATTGACAGATATATGGAGTAGACAGATGTCTATATACTTGTGATGATTTGGAGAAAGACAATACGATGGTATGATTATCTCAGTAGTCTGAGCTATATCTGCCAAAGTATTATCACCCCTCTGTTCATATATTATATATACAGTAGACGCTGTGTAATCAACTCTGTGTGGGGTTGTCCATGTCTTGCACTATAACGTCTATGTAACAAACGCTTGTCTAAGATAAACTGAAGACAAAACTTGAAGGAAGCTCACATTTTTAAATTCCGAGATTGATATTGGTTTAAGTATACAATGGAAATATATACGACTATATCTGCTCTGAAATGTATTATCACCCCTCTGTTCATATATTATATATACATATATAGTAATGATGATATATTCAATACATACTTGAGAATTTTGCTGTTTACCATAGATGTAAATATTTAAGACTAGAAGCAAGAAAATCTTCGATTTTGTCATAGCTTGTACCAAGATATTTCTCCCGAAACACGTACACGTATGTGTGTATATTTTGTTTGATTAAATGTTGATTCTTTATTTCTATTACAGACGAGGCTATCACCGAAGGGTAAAAGGAATAACGCATTGCCCCCATGGCTGTCCCTGAGAATCGCCCTGCAATCCAAGTCTTTGTATGTTACCTGGATCTTTGAAACAACACTGTATCTAACCTTGTGTTGCTGACGATAAACATCATAGATTGGAGATATGGCGTCGGGAAATGATTCAGACGTTAAATACTTCACCCTTGGGGAGTTTTTACAGGAGACAAGGTTTGATACACGCCCCTCCAGTTTACCAGGAAACAACCAGACCAGCGACATATTCCCTGAACTTCCGGACGCAGACGAAGACCTGCTGGACGTGCCGAAGCAGGCAGACATCATTCGGAACATGATCTTGAAGGAGGAACATCGAGACCTTGAAGAACGACTGATGAGGATACGTCACAAAGAACGAAAGGAGACTGTAGACTTTCGTATCGATGGGAGTTCCGCTTTTTTCATTTGCTGCGCAAGTAACAATGTCGAGTTGGCAACTTTTCTTCTCGACAGATGTGGAGCAGATGTAGATCAGAAAGGGACAGATTCACCCTTTGGTTGGCAGCCAAATTTGCCCCTTTGCTCTCCTCTTTGTTGCGTTGCCAGACATGTTGAATCGTTACCAATGGTGCGTCTGTTGATAGAACATGGTGCCAGTAAAAAAGGAGTGGACGAGACTGGGATGACTGCTATACAGATTGCCTGTCAAACAGGCAGTATGGAAACAGTGTTGTACCTTTACGAGCACGGGTTTAGTGTGCATGACGTGTCTCCTACAGGGAAGACATGTCTTATACTAGCTGTACAGAACACAGAGATATGTAAGTTTCTTATATCGAAAGGCGTGGAAGTAGACCACACGGATAGCAATAGTTCATCAGCGCTTCACTATGCCGTTCGCGACGGTCAACTGGACACTGTAAAATTGTTGATCGGATCAGGTGCTGACGTCAACATGACGGACAAACAAGGTCTAGATGTTATTTTGCGTGCTGCGTCGGCGGTGCAGGTCGGAGTAGTGGAATATCTTATGCAGGACCCATCTATACCTGTGAGGTCGAAAGTGCTTGCGTATAAGCTTCTTGGAAGCAGTCTGGCCGACACAGGCAAAGAATTAGAAGCTGTATTTTGGTGGGATAAGACTAGACCCCGGGAGTGTGATTTCGCTAGCGACGACTACGTACAACAGCTTATATCAGACGGCCGGAAGTTGTCTGTAGGCATCGCTAGGTCCTCCCAACCAACTGAAGAACTTGAACTTCTTGAAAGAATTCAAGCATATTCGGTCCGCGTCAAAATTGAAATATTTGGACTTTGTCATCCACAGACATACAAAAGTCTTTGTAAACTATTAAATATCAATTTTCTCATGATGAGTTTGAAACACAGTCTCAAGTTACTACGATACGCAGCCGAAGTGTTCGTCCAAAAAGATCAGCTTTCCAGTAAAGCAGCGCCATATATTGCTTCCCGACTAATGAAAGTGTTTAATCGAATCTGGCAATGTAAGAAAGAAGTAAAACCTGAGGACAGAAGCAGTATCATAGCGGAAGTGATTGATATACTAGGGAATCTTATCGATCATGTATCCGACCAATACATCCAGTCACGTACAGAGTCTGTGGAATTCGAACAAATGGAGGACGACAATATATCTTCTTTCGTTGGACTTTCTAGTGTTTATTCTCATAAACACGCTGAAGTGTTTGAGTGGATGTGTTTAGCACTTGATCTTGTGTGTATCGTAAGATCACTAGAACCCAATATCCGCGAAGAAGCAAGGCTCATCAATCATCTCAGTAAACTGGTAGAAGCAGATCCAAGGGGTCCCTCGGAAGAAACTCTTCTGCATATCGCCGTAACGTTAAACCCCAACTATAGACCATATCTGTCCACTGACATGGTGTTTCGTTGTAACAGGTTCGAGGTCGCGCGTAGCCTCATACACGCGGGGATCGATGTCAATGCCATTGATGTGAATAGAAACATACCTCTTTGCTCACTTTTGCAAGTGAATGCTAATTGGATTGAAGACGAGAAGACGCTCATCGGTTTGTTACTGGACTACGGCTCGGACATAGACATACGAAATAAAGATGGATTGACTACCCTCGCTCTGCTTCAACGAGCGGGCATCATGATTTGTCAGCTCAACTACCAAAAGCTTCAGTGCTTGGCGGCGGCTACAATAAGAAGTCACAACATTAAGTTTGAAGGATATGTTCCAAAGAAGATCGAGACATTTATATCTTGTCACTGATGTCCCCTTCTTGTGTTCTAGTGTACAGTTAGATGTGGCATGGGCGTGAGATTGGACATTTCAAATATTTCATTGGTTGTTTTTTTGTTTTTTGTTTTGTTTTTTGTTTTGTTTAGTTAACTTATAACCGACCTTTAAGAAGTTTGTTTACTAAATCTAAGTCCTGATCACTTGACGTCACAGTAGGGGAATCAATGGGGCGGTCTCCATCATCCTTGTCCCGGTCCTTCTCCACGTCACAGTCAGGGATACAATGGGGCGGTCTCCATCATCCTTGTCCCGGTCCTTCTCCACGTCACAGTCAGGGATACAATGGGACGGTCTCCATCATCCTTGTCCCGGTCCTTCTCCACGTCACAGTCAGGGATACAATGGGCCGGTCTACATCATCCTTGTCCCGGTCCTTCTGCACGTCACAGTCAGGGATACAATGGGGTGGTCTCCACCATCCTTGTCCCGGTCCTTCTGCACGTCACAGTCAGGGATACAATGGGCCGGTCTACATCATCCTCGACCCGGTCCTTCTCCACGTCACAGTCAGGGATACAATGGGGTGGTCTCCACCATCCTTGTCCCGGTCCTTCTGCACGTCACAGTCAGGGATACAATGGGACGGTCTCCATCATCCTTGTCCCGGTCCTTCTCCACGTCACAGTCAGGGATACAATGGGACGGTCTCCATCATCCTTGTCCCGGTCCTTTACCACGTCACAGTCATGGATACAATGGGACGGTCTCCATCATCCTTGTCCCGGTCCTTCTCCACGTCACAGTCAGGGATACAATGGGATGGTCTCCATCATCCTTGTCCCGGTCCTTCTGCACGTCACAGTCATGGATACAATGGGACGGTCTCCATCATCCTTGTCCCGGTCCTTCTCCACGTCACAGTCAGGGATACAATGGGATGGTCTCCATCATCCTTGTCCCGGTCCTTCTGCACGTCACAGTCAGGGATACAATGGGACGGTCTCCATCATCCTTGTCCCGGTCCTTCTCCACGTCACAGTCAGGGATACAATGGGCCGGTCTACATCATCCTTGTCCCGGTCCTTCTCCAGGTCACAGTCAGGGATACAATGGGACAGTCTACATCATTCTTGTCTTAATCCTTCTCAGGTTAACTTTGTTACACGACACTCAGCTGCATATGAAACTGAAATATTCATTCCGTCACTTTGCCTACCCGGCTGAAGAAGTTCTCGACACTCTGTTGGGTTCAACCAATTTTTTTTACTTCATATATACAACTGTCCCTGTACTTATATCGGTCCCTTTCAGAACACTAATTAAATGAACCCGTAAGTCTATACATGGACACTATGATTCATGTGCTGTCCGATATCACCTTACAGGATACAAGGAACGGCCTCTACCACAAAATAGAACGTGCACCCGAATGCTTTATCTGGATACTTGGTTGATGGTCGTACCCTTATACTTAAGTTAGGCAAGGGTGGGTGTGGTCAGTAATAGGATGGGTGATCGTTCCGTAGCACCCCCAGTGCACGTTACAACGACCTAGTTGTTGTGGATTGATAGAATAAAACCAGATTTTCTGAAATAAACTTTCTGTGGCTTGAAATCTAGTATGTAAGGAAATCCAGACAAGTTAGGTTCTGTTGTATAGCATAGCTCATAAGGTTACATCACAATGTTGGTTTGTTATATTAAGATTGTTAGGTTAGGTGTTTTTTATTTTCAACTTTCGTTAATTCCTTCTTGGTGCACGTATGTACTTAAAAGGGTTAAAAGTTTATAGTATGGTTAATATAATGATGTAAAGTCAGTGGGTTGGTAAACGAACTGAAACGCAAATCGCAAAAAGCAGTGTTACACAGTGTAGTATTTGTTAGTGATATGATTTTATGTTCATTTTACAAGATATTGTCGTAAATAAATGTGCACCAAGAACGGTCACAAACCCTCTGTATGTTTACAATACATATCAAGGAAACCCCAAATGTATATGTAAGGAACATACCAACGAAGTCAAGGAACCTTACCTGCGTGTGTGCGCTACAAATCAAACTTTGCCTGCATGTGTGCGCTACAAATCAAACTTTGCCTGCATGTGTGCGCTACAAATCAAACTTGACCTGCATGTTTGCGCTACAAATCAATCAAACTTTACCTGCAAGTGTGCGCTACATAATAAAACTTTACCTGCATGTGTGCGCTACAAATCAATCAAACTTTATCTGCACGTTTGCTCTACAAATCAATCAAACTTTACCGGCATGTGTGCGCTATAAATCAAAATTTACCGGCATATGTGCGCTACAAATGCATGAAACTTTACCTGCATGTGTGCGCTACAAATTAATGAAACTTTCTCTTTATGTGTACATAACAGTTCAATGAAGTATTACCTGCATATGTACGTTACATATACGAGGAATCCTTGCAGGTATGTTTACGTTACAAAGCCATGGAACATTACCTGTATGTGTCCGTTACAATTTAAGGAAATCTTACCTGTATGTGACCTGTATGCGTAAGTTAGAATTTAGGGAAGACTTATCTGTACAATAATATGTGTACGTACAGGTATATGAATAACCAGAAAGTCCATATGCAAGTCAAGAGAAGAGTTACACGTGCATGTCGAAAAAATCCGATGACATAAGTACACTCCTAATCGGATGAAGGATGATGCGTGCAGTGTACACAATTGTAATTTGTTTGATGACATTTTGTAGGAGCCTTTATCATATAAATCTGTTATACAGTCTGGTCACACGAAACACCTGTGGTACACAATAAACTATTTGATGTTATTTATTGTTGGTGTCTACAGGTTTTCTATTTTGTAAATATTCACTAAGATGTAATCCACATGCAATCAAAATATAGAACTATCTGTGTATGTAGTTTGTATACTACTTGTAGGGTAACGCCGGACATGTTTACACGTAGATGTACTATACACGTATACCTGATTATTTATACATAATTTATAATTAATTAGGAGATGAATTTGTGTGTGATAAATAGATCTAAAAGGTATTCGTGAACCTGTCTAAGTTGTGTAAGAGTCAGTCTATACTTAAAGTTTGATGTGTAATGATGGGACCTGTTGAAGCCAGGACAAGACCTGTTGAAGCCAGGACGTGTATATATAACAGTTAAAACCTGTAAAAACCAGTCAACTACGTCCAACGTTGTAGGTTCTATTGTTTTGGTTTTAATTACTCTACAAAGACATTTGTAGCATGGTTTTAACTAAGTTCAAATGTGTCCTTGTTGTTTGATCGTTCGGATTTGGTACATCCGCTTATTTACCATTACGTATATCTTAACACCTCTTGATATACACACACTTGTATACCTATAAATATAATCAAAATCACGCGTACTGCGCACATGATCGGTCGTAACAGTGGTAATCTTAGTGAGGAGTAGGTGTTTAGTTGGTCATCACGATTGTGATTTGTTGTCTCCCTTTAGTCATATAAAAGTGAATTAGTAAAGAGTTATCACGGACTGTAAACAAATCAGTGAGGTTACAGTCATATTGAAATAAACATAACTGCCTGGACGAGGATTTGTTTTATTTCTTTACACGTGTTTAAAGTTTTAAAATGATGTTTTATTTTCATCTTGAGATGACTCACAGACATTATAATGTTAAAATGTCCGTTGTAACTTGTGTAGTTATAAATACATTTGAGCGTTAATATCTTACCTACCTTACCAAATATCTCTATCTGGTTTGGGGTCGGGAGTTTGGGTTGGAATTTTGGGTTTGGGAGTCGGAGGGTTTGGGTTGGAATTTTGGGGTTGGGAGTCGGGGGATTTTGGTTTGAGTTTGGGGTTGGGAGTCGGGGGGTTTGGGTTGGAGTCGGGAGTTTGGGGTTGGAATTTTGGGTCGGGAGTCGGTGGTTGGGGTTGGGGTTGGGAGTCGGTGGTTTGGGTTGGGGGTGGGAGTCGGGGATTTGGGTTTGAGTTTGGGGTGGGGAGTCGGATGTTTGGGTTGGAGTTTCGGGTTGGGAGTTAGAGTTGGAGGTAGTGGTTTGGATTGGAGTTGGGTGTTGGGGGTTTAGGTTAGGGTTGGGAGAAGGGGGTGTTGGTTGGAATTTTGGGTCGGAAGTCGGGGTTTTGAGTTGGAGTTTGGGGTTGGGAATCGGGACTTTGGGTTGGGAGTCGGGGCTTTGGGTTGGAGTTTGGGGTTGGAATTTTGGATTTGGGGATAGGGGGTTTGGAAGATGATGTTAGGGAATGGGGTTTAGGGTTGGGAGTTGGTTTTGGGGTAGGGGGTTTGGGTCAAAGAATAGTTCTGTCAAAGTAAAAATAATTGTGTAACAAATAGATATAAATGTGGTGTCCTTAATATTATATTCTTGTAGTGAAAACGAAAGCATGTTACCATAAATGAGTTTAAAGGACTGTCAATTCATGTATTGACACACAAAACATGACCAATTAAATACAAAGAAAAATAAGGAAGAATTCAATGAAAAAATAGATAAATAGATAAAAGGTACCACACCCACCACGTGGAAACTGTTTCAAACTTACAGTTATCTCCCACATCTGATTAACATTGGTCTAACTCATCCACCATTTGGAAACTGTTTCAAACTTACAGTGATCTCCTACATCTGATTAACATTGGTCTAACTCATCCACCATTTGGAAACTGTTTCAAACTTACAGTGATCTCCTACATCTGATTAACATTGGTCTAACTCATCCACCATTTGGAAACTGTTTCAAACTTACAGTTATCTCCCACATCTGATTAACATTGGTCTAACTCATCCACCATTTGGAAACTGTTTCAAACTTACAGTGATCTCCTACATCTGATTAACATTGGTCTAACTCATCCACCATTTGGAAACTGTTTCAAACTTACAGTGATCTCCTACATCTGATTAACATTGGTCTAACTCATCCACCATTTGGAAACTGTTTCAAACTTACAGTGATCTCCTACATCTGATTAACATTGGTCTAACTCATCCACCATTTGGAAACTGTTTCAAACTTACAGTTATCTCCCACATCTGATTAACATTGGTCTAACTCATCCACCATTTGGAAACTGTTTCAAACTTACAGTGATCTCCTACATC